CCCAGGTCCTTGGGGCTCTGCTGCGGGTGCAGGAGATGGAGTGGGAGTCAGTTCCTCATTCAGGGATGCACCCTGAACTATTGCAGGAATTAACCAACAACTTTGGAACCCCTACTCAGCTCCCCAGGTCTCCCCACTCACCCATCTCCACAGAGATCCCATATTGAGCTGCCTACCTGGTCGCAGATTGAGCTGCCTACCTGAAGTCCCTCTCTTACCTTTTCATTGTATTTTTCCCCACAGACTTTTTGAAGTACCCTCATGGTTGAGTCCTGGCAAATGTTGGGTGTCATTTTTCTTGAAATTTGATGATCTGAGGAACACAACAGCTGGGTTGGAAATGATGGCCCTCGGGCCAAATCTGCCTAGGTACCCACTTGTGTAAATAAAGCTTTATTGGAACACAGCATGCTCATTTCCTTATTATGTATTGTCTACCTGCTTGTGCACTACAGAGGTGAAGTTGGGATTTGTGAGCCCTTTAGGGCCTCCAAAGTCCAAAATACTGATTATCTGGCTCTTACCAGGAAAAAAAAAAGGTTTGCCCATTCTGAAGAGTGAAGGAACGGACCACTAGTGTGGTTCACATGTGGCTGTTCTGGGCCTGATCTCAAACCTCCTTCCAGCAAGGGCATCACTCATTCTACCTAAGGGTCTCTGGATGGCATTACTGAAGTGAGGACCACCAACAGTTTGGCTGTGACACATGACCAAGTGCCTCTTGGGAGGCCTCCTACGTGGGCCACTTCGAGAGAATGAGGAGGCTTTGAGAACAGGCTTGAGTTCTCTGGGCTGCAGGGAGGTTGTGTGTGGCACAGACGTTTCTGAACACCAAGCCACACCTCTGTTCCCTCCCCGAATCCCTCAGTCCAGAGCCCAGTGGATACTACAATCCACTGAATAGCAGGTAAGGTAAGGATGTACAGGAAATTGTACATGTACAGGGCCCAGCCTGGGACCCCATGCTTCTTAGCAAACTGGTTTATAGTGGCGGCAGCTGCCTCACCCAGACTCTGTGAAAAGCCAGGATGCTAAGCCCAGGTCAATACCTGAGCGGTGACACCTGGGGAGCCAGATCTCAATGGTGGACAACATATAGCGAATCTACAAGTTTTTCACAAGGAGAGTATTTAGTCTGACAGTCACAGATGGTGTTTTCTGGACAACAGATGCACAATGAAATAAAATATGCCAATTGAGAAGCGTTTAAGTCGCATTATCTTCATTGTATTTCATCCATCAACAGCTTTTGTTAGTAATCATCGGTCCACCCACCACCTTCCAGTTGGTAGTAACTGGGCATCAGATGGACAATGCAGGCATTCAGAGCAGCAGAGGGCTGGGGAGTCCTTTGCTCTATGACCAACTCTCCAGAGGCTGTGAGGCCAAGTGGGGCCTGGGCTCTTCTTATAAATAGCCCAATGTGGCTCGTTGGTCACTGGCTTTGACTGCACCAGGTCTTTAGGGTTTTAGGGGCCATGTGGGGTCTTCTTAAGCAGCTTGCGACACAATCAGGGATGTCCTAGAAAGTGGTCTGATTAAGGTGCTGCCATGCCATCAAATGCTCTAGACCAGGGTTTGGCCAACTACCATGGGGCCTAATTTACCCCACAGCCTATTGGTGTAAGTAAGAAATCAGATCTTACCATCTTTATTGAACAGAGCCAGGCTCCCATCATCTCTGGCTGCTTCCTAACTACAAGGGTGGAGCTGGTGTGTGGCTACATGGCTCCAAAGCCTACATTTGCCATCCAGTCCTTTAAGATGACGGCTCCTCAGGGCATGGCTTGCACTTTGGACATGCAAGAGGGCCTGGTGCTGATAGGCATTTGAAGGACCGCTTTGTGACAGTACCGTTTCAGGCTGCCAGAGATGAAGTTTGCTATATGAGAAGTCCCCAGTTGCGGGTGATTCTGACTCACAGAAACCACGTACATCAGGAGAATCTCACACCACAAGGTTTTTGATGGTTGATCGCTAGGGATCACTAGGCCTTTCTTCTGAGACGTCTCTGATTGGACTGGGACCTCCAAGCCTTCTGGTTGGCAGCTGAGCATATGGGTCATTTGTACAACCAGGGTTTCCAATGTGAAGAGTAGAGGAGATAGGATGTTTGGGGCAGGAGAATCAGGCCTGGAGCCCTATCCTGGGTCTCTCATATTTGGTGCTGACTGCTCCTGGAATTGTAGTCAGTTGTGGGGCTTTCATTCTCAGGGGGCTGGGAAGAAGTCAGAGCTTATAAAGTTTTTGACAGCCACCTCCCCCTGAGAACATCCACTGCTCCTAAACTCCAGAACTCAAGGCCTTGGCACAAGGTAGACAGTTATCTGTGATGATAGGAGTCGTTTCACAGTGGAAGTTTCCATGGGTGGGTGGGTGGGTGAGGTAGACTTCTAGGTGCAACCGTGGCTCCTGTCCCTAGGCAGTTCCCAAGCTGATTCTGGAGACAAAACACACCCACAAAAATGACACCTCTGAACCAAGGGGGTATGGCCTGTATGAGCTAAGGGAGCCAGTCTAACCAAGGAAGGGTTCCTGGAAGTGACTTTGAAGGATAGGGACTTGGATACTTGGACAGAAGGTGCTCATCTCAACCATCTCCCATAAAGAAAAGATGGGAATTTTTGGCTCTCTTTGCCTGTTCTTTAAAGAGGGAAAACTCAAGCCATCCAAAGGCTGAGACTGGACACAAAGATGTGGCTAGGGTCTCGAACCACTGGCTTAACGGAGCATGGCAATGCATGGAAGAACGTGGAGAGACAGCATGGGGGCAGAGTCTGGTTGGTATGGCAGGGGCATTCTCTCTTTATAGGGGGGGAGGGGGGGGGCAAACTGTCATTCACAGCTGAACTCCAGAAAAAACTGTAAGAGGGCAAGGCCATCCCACAGCAGTGGTTCCTGACACGTGATGGGCACCCATCTGCCAAGTAAGAGCAAATGGACACTATTCAAGGTTGTTATAACGTGCTTTTCAACAATTAAAATGTCTGGTGACGTGGCACCTTCCAGAAGGCAGTAGGACACCACCGTGTCAGGTGCCTCCTGCAGCAGCTCGTGTTTAGCTGGGCCTTTTAAGATCTTAGCTGCAGAACATCTGTGATACCTATTTTCCTATTGGAGAACTGGTTTTGAAAGGACCTGCTGTTGCTTAATATTTCCAAGTCGGAAAGCATAACCCCAAGTGACAATGGCAAGGTTCCTGGGAAGCATTCCCTGCTGGCAGCAGCCACACCAAGCTCAAAGGGCTAGCCTTCAGGCTGCTCTCCAGACCCCCTCCCTCCTTCTCAACAAAGCAGTCCCAAACTTGGAAGCAGCCAAGTGTCATCTGAAATATCAATTGGGGGCCCATTGAGCAAGCATTGGATCTTGGAACATGGTGTAGTTTTTGTATACCATGAGGGTCGAAGAACTAATGTCAGAACATTCCCCTTTCAAAGGATCACAAGGAAATCTCACATCAACCCCTGGCCAATTTTGCTGCTAAGATGACCAAAACAAATGTTAACTCATCCACTGCCTCACACACAAGGTTTGAGGTGATGGTAGCAGCAACCAGGCGGCAAACTTCTACAATCTAGCATAATAAGGGTGGTGGTGTGTGTGTGTGTGTGAACTGAATGTGTCTACAAAAACAAGAGGATCCAAATGATTTTAGACTGACTAGGAGAGTTTGGAGCATGAACAGAACAGGAGGGGGGGAAATGATAATGAAGAAGATAAACAATTTCAAATGATCTGGTCCACTTATTGCATAGACAGGGACATGACCTTCACTTTTTATATGAGGAACCCAAGACCCAGGGAAATAGGAGCAGCCTCCTGACATTCCTGACCCAGGCCCACACTTCCCCCGCACTGGCCTGAGAATTTGCATCCTTATACTAAGTGTTGGTCTAGCAACTAAGCTTTGAACAGTACTTCCTCAAGTGGGCAATACCCTCTGGAGGGGGTGCTGAAATGATGGGGGAGGAGCCTGCAACAGCACATACCTATTCTTTATCCTGAATTATGAGCTATAGTATGTTTTTCATTGCTGTTTGTGTGTGCCGATTCCTTGTACTGAAAAAGGGGGCAATAAGCCTAATAAGCTTAGGAACCATGGGTACTATAGCTCACTACAGCAGGATAGAGTACGTATCTGCTTTTGTAAGTCCCTGGATCATTCTAGTTTGTAACTCTCTCCTGCCTGCCACCCACTCCCCCTTGGGAAACATCTACCTAGACTTTTGCTTATCATCTCCACCAGGTAGAGCTAGTCTTAGAGCCTTCTCCCACCTGAAAGTGCTGTCTCACTAAAACAACATTATCAGTCTGCATGGTGCCCACTGAGTGCCAAACCCAGTGTCCAACTCACTCTGGCCTTCCACCGAAAATGGGCACCAGGCACACCCATGCTGTCAAATGGACACAAATGTTGCCTAAAGTAAAAGGCTACTAAAGGTCATTTGGAAAACAATCACAGAGCAATATGCGATGTTAACTCTTCAATTCTCCACTCAGCTGGCACCTCCCCCAATGCCGAGGAGCTCTAAGATTTAAGTTGAAATCACGGGACAACAGAGGTTGCATAGAGTGAAGTAAAATGGGATCTAGGGCCCAAAGCCATGATCTGCTTCAGGAATGAATGGTCAGTCCTCACCGAGGACCGAAAAATATTATGTGGTGGGCATTGCCTGTACTTCTCCCCTTTGAAAGTAAACTGCCTCCCTCCACACAAAAGTGAGACCAGTAATATAGAAATCTTCTTTAGCTGATAGCTTAGCTTATACATCATATACAAGAAAATTATTTATACTGCCAAATGTGAACAACTTGACATGGCCTAGGTCCACATGGAGAAGCATGTATCTGCAATGAAGGACAGACATAAAAATCTTGTCTTTACTTCTCCTGCGTGGCTGGTCCCTTGAAGACGCGAGCTCTCAAAGAATGAGCAGAGGTGCCCCCTCGGAATCCCAAACCAGACGTGGCACCAGAACACCACTCAGGCACACAAGTGATATTTTGTGATCAAATTTATTTTGTTTAAATTTCATTTACTTTGTTTTACTGTAATTTACACAAGAGACTGCCAAGTAAACTAGGTATTTTACATTCACCAAACATTTCCTCTCAACTCCACAGTTGTTAGGAAAGCCTGGGCTCCCAGCAATGCCGCAGAGGTCAGTGAGGGTGATGACATTTATGAAGAGGACTCGACTCCTTACTTCACAAAGTTAGCAGTCATGCTCCTCACACCACACTGCAGACAGTGACTATGCAGTGACATAACCTATCTTACAGCAGTGCCCACAGTAAGTGCCAGTCTCCACCCTGAGGACACTGGGAACGTGGTTTTGCTGCTGCAGCGAACAGGCCCCTCAGGGTGGCAGCAACCCCACACCTCCAGGTCCAAGTCACTGCCATCATGTGTCAGAGGGGCAGGAGACACGAGGCGGCGAGGCGGGGGAGGGTCAGGCGGGGGTTGTCAGCATATCAGATTGCCAATGCCATTTGACTCCAGTGTCTCGGGTGGGACCAGACTAAAGGAGACATCTGTGGCCTGAAGGCTTCAACTGAATCCTTCTACTCAAGCTTCTGGGGCTGACAGGGGTAAAAGCTGGGGCCGCATAGAAAAAGTAGACACATCTCACCTGGCTATTGCTCCTGCTCTACAAATAAAGGAGGTGGTGGTAGGGGCGTCTCACCAGCACGGATCAGGGAAGGATCCCGTGGCCATCCTCCTTGTGGTGCAGCAGAAGGGAGGGACAGTGCAGCCGGTAGGGCCTCTTATCCTGGCTACAGGCCAGCCTCTGGCTGTGTGTCTCAAGTTCTTCCTATCTCAAAGTCAGCATCTCCTCTAAAAGTACAACCCCAACATGAAAAGAATGAAGCATCACCCCTATAGATCCTATCACGTAAGCTGCAAAGAATCTTGGCCATTTGCATAGTTTCCAAACTACAATTTCCAAAGCCAGTCGTTTCAGCAACAGGCCCCCGGAGAGCATTGTCCATCTAATCTCTGCCCCCGCCTGCAATGCACCGAAGAGTACGTTCTCCATGTAACAGGGCCTGAAATTGTCTAGTGTTTATTAATAATCACAAACTTTCATCTCCTTTTGCTAGGTTTGATGTAGAAAAATACTTGAATTTAAAATACAAAAATCCAATAAAAACTGGAGTTCTTTTGTTTTTAAGGATTCCCCCACCCCTCCCCCTCCAGGACAAACAAGTACAAAGTTGGCATGGAAATTTACTCCTTCCTCTTAGATACTGTCAAATTTGGCTATAAGGTAAGGACCAACCAGAAATAAATAGTTATAAATATTTCAAGTTTACATTCCAAATTTACTGGACTAGCAAAAAATTTAGAATACATCCTTTGGGGGGTGTGGGGGGTGTAGGGGTCCTACTTGCTGTTGGGTCTAAAATAACAATTTCTAAGAGACTGATTTAAAAGAACAGAAAAATAATATAAGGCTATATATATATATATATTGGTCCACAACTCACACTTGTGAAACAAACCAGCTAGTTTTACATTGCAGTCAATTTGTCCATTAATGGTATTACTCTGATAATCATTAAAATCTGTTCCAGGTATATATATTGAAAATATTTTCTTTTGCATTCTGGCCAAAGATAGGTACAGTACTTTGGAAACATCATCCTAATCCCTCAGTGGGTCTGTATGTACATATATATATATACACAAGCGTGTGTAGCTGGCTCTGTAGCTCTACGTGCATTGTATATACAGCTACAGTTAATACACACACACACATATGCACACACATAGTGGAGGGCCTGGGCGTGTGTACAGAACCACAAGCACGTGGCTAGGGAACGTCGACACTGCAAGAAGCTGGTCAGATTCGTCTTCACTCATCACTGGCTGCACTTGTTCCCCTCACTTGACCTTGATTACGTAACTGTAAGAAAAGGAAGAGAGAGCATCTTGTTAAAATATACTGCGGACACCAAAGGGAGGTGACGCCTGTCACAACCATTCTCCCAGAAAAACACTCAATTCAGCTAGCTTTCAGCCGAGTATCTACTCTCAGCGACTGCAGTTTCAAGGTGGCATCTCGTTTTAAGATTTTAAACTTGCTAAAGGCATAGCATTTTGTTTCACCCGAGGGAAAGTTAAACTAGAAGCAGACATTAGCCACAGAAACGCACAAGAACTTAAAAGGAATGGTAACTTAAAAAAAGTCTTTGTAATGAACATGGAAGTTAAAGAAAGGACTTGTGCCGGCTTGTGAGGGTGCACCTACTTAAGACTCCTCAACACTCCAATTACCCCACTGCTTTCAATAATGAGAGAGCAGGAGCTCAAATGAGACAGCAACTGAGACCCACAGCGGACCCAGGGGCATCCTGTGGCATCTTGTTTTGGCTGACAAACACCCTACCTTAGTTCAAGGTTAACACAGGAGAGAGATGTGCCCATTTTTGGTGGCCCATGGTGGCTTTACTCACCAGGGGCAGATTTTTTCTTTCTAAGCAAACTTCTTACCATCAGAGTATCTACATTTTTCTTAGAGCAATTTGTAAGCTATTGAGATATCTGATATTATAAATTAAAACTACCTCACACTACACATATCAAAGGACAGGATACGTAAAGGAGACACCTTCCTGGACTACAGGAAACATTGCAACTAGAAAGATCGCTGAGGTTGGTGCTGGGGTGGGCCCTCGTGGACCAGGGGAAGGGCTTCCCTCAGTGTGATTGCATGGGTTTTTACTTATTTCCTTAAACTGAAAATGATTCTACTAGGGATGGGTTGGTTCATCAGGGCTTCCAACTGGTTCTTCCTGGTTCTATCAGGGCCAACAGGTGGGCCTGAATTTTTGAAATGTGGGTGGACTGGAACAGTAACTTGACTGGTAAAAATGACAGGTCAACACCCTAGTAGAAATTTAATTTTTCTCTTAGAAAGCAAGTGCAGGGTGCACTTGCATAGGAACCAAATCTTGAACTGACAGCAACAACTGTGCCTGGACTCAAAGATGGTGGCCAACTATGTTCTGAACGTGTACTGCTTGCCACTAGCCGGGCAAGAACCCAGTCTCCTGCAGTATGCTCCCTAATGGGCTAACTGTACCTCTTCCTGGTCTCCCATCTTGACACTTCATAACCCACTGAACCTTTCCCATTAGAACTTAGTTCTGCTTCAACCAATGTTTCAGAGTTCAGATTCATTTCAATTTTACTTGCTCAGCCATGACTGAACTGATTCAAACCGACGAGTAGCCGTGTACTTAACTGGTCATCAACAAAAAATGAGCTGATCTAAGGCCACTGCCTTACGTGAGGGTAGGTACACTTCCCAGCTGGCTTTTAAGCCATATTGCTAAGAACCGGCTCAGGATGACTTAATTCCACCTGTTCACATATCTAAGTTTTACAGAGTAATATTTCAAGTATTCACTGTCAATCTCTAAAACAAGTTATCATTTAAGTTCCAAAAAGAAGACTGCATTTAACACTAAGTTAGCATCATTTCAGCTTAGCAAGTTAACTACCCATCGCCAGAATGGTACTGGTTACAGAACCTTTTACCCAGGTCTTCACTTACACAGTTGGATATTGTCTCTGACCTACAGGGGACTCATCTAGACATCAGCAGCCGACGTGCCTCGGACGGAACCCTTCTTACGCATCTAAACGTAAAATAAAATCATGAGCTGCTGAAATCATAGACTCTATATAAGGGTTAGTTTAAGCATGGGGAAGAGAAAAAGGCGGAAGGAACAAGAGTGCTGTGACAGCTGCCCCTTTATAACCACGACCACAGTGAGAGAGGCATTTGGAGAGCCCTTGGTCTGAAGACAACCTTGCAATAGGCCTTTCTTACACACCTCAAAAACAATTTCCTTTAATCTAAGAAACCAGAACCTGCAGACCAGTGGTAACCAGAAATAATCAGAGGAGGTAAATAAATTGTCCTTAATACAGGTGTGTAGGGGGAGGGGGCGCTTCACTAACTTAGTGGAAAAGTGGAATTCAAACATAATGAAATTTTCCCACAAACTTTTTGAAGGCCTACAAATCATCTGAGGAAATAACTGTCATAGTGGGATCCCGTGGCCGCCTTGGCTGCTTTGAAACCAGGCAGGGCCTCTCAAAAGTCCTTTAGAGGATGCTTCCTGAAGAGTACGGGACGGAAGGGGAGGAGAAGAATGACAGGATGAACAAGATACAGCACAGAACAACAAACCAAGGAAGGGTGCAAAGCTGCAGCAGCAAGGACAGGCAATCGCAGCACTAGCCTACAGCAATTAAAGAAAGCCAAGAGGAGAATAGAAGGAAAAGCAGCGAATACAATGAACACATTCTAAAACTCAACCTGAACCTCCACTCCCATCAAAAGTACCAGTGGTCAACAATCAAGTGTATACCTGCCCCAGGTGTTCATCTGGTTGCCATATCCAGCACCAGGGTTTCTCTGCAGGGACCTATGCAGGGGTGGTCCTCTCCTGCTTGGCTCCTCGAAGATGCTAGCTGTTCGGAGTGAACTGAGTGTCCCACAAAGTGTGTCTTGTAAACCGTGACCTCTTGTCTATAGTTACAATCCCACTGTGGGGAGGGATATCTGTGCTATGTGAACAAGGCCCAATTAGTGCACATGTGTGTTTCAGGTCAATCTCTACTGAGATATAAGATAGATGAAACAGGGCAGCAGAGAGCAGAGATGGGCACCTAGGAAACAGAAGCTGAGAGATCAGGATTTCCTGCCTATCCCACCCATGCACATGACAGGGGAAAGTCTTCCCCTTGAACTTGGGCCTCTAGCCAAGCCACCCCTACCCCTGTGATTCCAACTATAGCAGCACTGGGAAACTAAGAGACGGCTCCTCTGCTCCTCGGTCAGGGCCACTTAGAGAATGTAATCAATCTAATGACATCATCAGGGGAAACTTCCAACTGTGGCTAAGTGGTCTCAACAGGAGGTGGACACTGTGTGGCAGGAGTATGGTCTGCCGCCCCATGCTGCCTAGACTCTGAAGAAACTAAAAAACTCAAAAGATGTCAGAACTCAAAGCAGAAGCAATTCAATGTGGAGCAAACACACCAACAAAGAAAGGGCCACCTACCCTCACCTGAAACCAATGTCAGGGCTCTCCCGAGGCGGGAAGGAATGAGCCCCAGGGCAATGTGGACACAGCATCTTCTAACAAAGCAAGCTACATTGTCACTGAGTGCCCCTCCCAAATCATCAGAAGCCGACTTGTCTGCAGCGGGAGTCGCCATCTCTGCATCGACGAGCTGGCTGTGTCTTGGGGTCAAGAGACCTCGAACTTGTGAGGGAACCAAGAGTTCTTCCCTGGGAGAAGCAGCGGTTTCAGGGGCAGGGTTCAGAGGTGCTCCCTGGCAGGTCAACAGGCGGTTCGTCACTTGTGACTGTGCCCCAGCAGAACCCAAGAATGGGCTCCTTTCAGAGCGTCTAACCAAGAACCTGTTTTGGGTTTGCTCAGTCCTTTAGGGACATACTGGTCCACACCACGAGCCCAGTGAGCGTGAAGGCAAGCCGCCTGCTGCTGTCTCTTCCAGGTCCAGCTGAGACCAGCTGCTTTGCGGGGCTGAATTTAGAACTGGCAGGTAGCTCTGGGACCTGAGGTGCTTGGAGGGAGGAAAAATGGAAAAAGCAAGGGAATGAGGATCAAAACGGGAATGGGGCACGTCTCAGAGAACAGCACCTGGCTGAGGAAAGAAAACCAGGGTAGGAAAGGCCTAAGATCCTCCTCTACTTTTTGCGCCCCATCCCCACAATCCCCTGGGTCAAAATAAGGGGGTAGTGGAGACTCCCCATTCCAGTGATCCAGAACTTGGGAGTCACATGCTTAGGATGAGAAATTAGAGTCATAGAGTTTTCAACTGGCCGGCCAGAAACTGAACCCCTACTTAGAATATTGCTTTTGTGGTTAAAGTATGTTCCAAATTTCAAACAATCAACTTAAAAAATGTTGGAACCAAATCCATTCATAAGTTGGAGCCGGCCTATAGTTTACTTTATGTCTCAGATAAGGCTAAGACGTTTTATTGCCTTATAAAGAAACTATGTCCTAGTCCTCTCACAAGGTTTGTATAAAACTAATTGGAAGCAGATCTCCTGTAATCACCAAAAGTAAGCAATCTTCAACACGGATTCCTGACGACGCAGCAGCCAGAGAACTAGATTCCCGCCTGTGTCAAAGAGCTGGGTTCGCTGCCATTCTCTGGTGATCACGCCGGAGTTCCTGCTGCTCTCCCAAGCATCCATCAGAGGCCTGCGTGTGCGGGGCATCATGCATGTGGGCCGGACTCCCCAGCACTACATGGGGCCTGCTCCCCTGGCCTGCATGTACCTCCAAGCTCTGCTCTCCCCGTGGGTCTGAATTAGAATTCTTAGTCCTCACTGTTTCTACAGGAGGAGGACCACCCCTCAAGGTGCCAAAGGGAGCATGGCTCTGGCAAAAGTGAACGAAAGTACTGTGGGAACCAAGTGACAGCATAGAGAAGTAACACATTATAAAGAGTAACTCCATGGGCATTTTGCAAAGGACAAGTTGTCGATGGAGGAAAGCTCATGTTTACCCTCACAGAAGATGCTCAACAAAGAGGAGGAGACTGGACAGCAGGAGGTGAGTGCTGAAGAAGCTGGACTTTGTTGAAGGTAAACAGATTAGTGAATGGGTTTTAGTAACACTCGTCTGGACTCTGAGCCTACACGTAACTCATACACATGCAAACAGCTTTAGAAAAGGCCAGAGAAGCCCCACAGAACGATGGAACGTCTTACCGTTTCTAGTTCTTTCTGAGTTTCATCTTCCATTCTCCTAATGTCTTCCATGGTCAGGTCAATCCACTTGTCAATCCAACAAAAGAGCTGGCGATGGAAGTTTGTAAATATCCTCTTTTCTTGCTTTTGAAACAAGAGAGAAAGGCAGTATAATATGGCGAAAACCCAAGATTCATTAATGACAGATGCCTTTAACGTCAATAAATCATCCCATGTCCCAAGCAATCCATGCAATGTGCACCTACTCAATGCCACTGAGTCAATTCCAGCCAAAGCAATCCCAGAACAGAGTAGAAGTGCCTCCGTGGGCTACCAAGGCTGCAAATCTTTATAAAAACATAAAACCTCTGCTCTGAAGTGACCCCTCCACTCTTGATGACAATCCTATCTCCATCCCACTATCATTCTGTTCCACGAAAAGAAAAAGTTCCCTTGGAAACATGAATCCATCTGATCTGGTAGAGGTGGGATGGTTTCAAAGTAACCAAGGAAGCACAGTGCACACTTTTCCATCCAACACAACTCTTCCTGGATCTTACTCACTTTCATCTTTTTCTAAATACCAATGACTACAGGTCAACTTGATTTCTTCTGCTATAAAACTTCCCTGCAACTCCAAGGGATGCTGGTGAAGTGTTCATGAGAGTCCTGGGCTCTTTGGAATGAGATGTCTTCTTAACTCAAGACTTATTACTTATTCTCACCTCTTGCTTTTCCTACTCTCCAGGTTACTTGCCACTCTAATTAAAAAAAAAATCACAACTTTATAATCAGTGACTTTAATTGTTGAGTTATCTGTTTTATGAAACGCTCACAGAAAAGAGAGAATGCATGGGACAGTGAGTCATCTGAATAACCTTCAACTTTGAAAGTATTTTTCCAAGACCAGAAGGAACTTCGTCAACTACATGTGTGACTTCTATTCATCAAAAGCGGGTTATGAATCTATTATTATGACCCAAGAGGAAGGAAGGAAGCCAATATTTATAGAGTGTCTGCTCTGGGCCAACTGCAAGCAAGCCCAAGAAAAAAGCAGTTCTCAGAACTTTAAAGATGTGTTTGGCTTTTTCCCCCCTCTGAAACGGTGGCAAAATACGAAGGGGTACCCCAAAAAACTCGAGTTTTTTCCCTAAAAGATATGTACTTAAATTATTGTGCAAAACAACCTCAACCCTATCACCTTCAAAGTACTCTCCATTACACTTCATACATTGGTCAAATCTGTGATTCCATTCTTGGAAACATTTTTCAAACTTATCTGTTTGGATAACTGACAGCACCGCCCTCGTTTTTTTTCTTTGCCTCTTCTTCATGACCCTCTTCATTTGTGGAGCAAAAAGAAGTCGCATGGAACAAGGTCAGGGGAGCGAGCAAAGTGTGTGGGGCAAGAGAGGCATACTGCTTTGTTTTGTTTGTTTTTTTGCCAAAATCTGGCGCACTGAGATGGCTGCGTGAGCAGGTGCATGGTCGTGGTGGCAAAATCAGTCCCCCGTCTGCCACAAATCAGGTCTTTTTTTGTTGCACATTGTTACATAATCTTTTCAGAACCTCTAAATAGAAAGCTTGATGAACAGTCTGACTTGGTGGAATGAAATCCATATGAGCTACAATTCGACATTTTTGTTCCTTCAGAAGTTGATAGACGTCAAGAACAAGCTTTGGACATTTCACCTTTTTTAAAATGAGAAAACCACTCATACACTTAAATTTTTCCCACAGCGCTATCCTTATAAGCTGGTTCAACATCACAACAGTTTCTGCAGCATTTTTTCCCAATCTGGAAACCTAATTTCACAGCTGGTCACTATTCTCTGAAATCAGTCAACACAAAAAATGAGGTTTGAGCGAAACTGCTTTTACAAAAAAATTCATTGTGCCCAGAGAGAACGAACCTTCCCAGGTGATGTCACTGGGTGCACTAATTCAGAGTTGTTCAATGCTCACCTAGTGGGAAAAATGTGTGCTATGAAAACTCTGCTTCACCTAGCACAATTCTGGCATTTTTGTGTGTGCACTCCTTGGTGTATATATAGGAAGAGACTTCAAAAAGTCCACAGGAAAATCTCATCAACTTTTCATTCAATTTCTCCACACACTTTCAGAGGGCTCTGCACGTGGCCAAAAGCTGCCCACGCTGACAGTTTGATGTGACCGCTGAGCAAGGTTGTGTCCTCCATGTTAAACTACCACGATCTGTTTCCAAACGTTTTACATGCCCCCCAGAAGGTCATTTTCTTCTTGAATGCTAATGCAGCTAAAAGGATAGCAGCTGTAGCAAATCTCAAACATAGCTAGTAATGGGGATGGGGGGGGGGGGTTCTTCATACCACAAGGGAGTAAATGTGCTCCCTGCAGACCATGTCAGCACCCAGGAAGTTTTCTGTACTTCTTATGTATTTACAACCATTAGATCTGGACCCTTGGCTCATGTCACCCTAGGCTCAGAGTACAGAGTTCTTATTCTAAGTGAGAGTCCTTAAGGGAGGAGGAGGGGGAGGGGGTGGTGGGGTGGTGGGTGACGGGTGGCAGGCACTTCCCACAGAAAGCCCCTCAGAGACTATGTTGACCAGGGAGGAAAAGTTTGGACTGTGCAGGGACAGCAAGTCTCATCTCACAAAGGACAAATGAAGGTGGCAATGAACCCGGTTAACCGGGTAGCTGTCTCAAGCCTCAACCTCCAAGGGAGCCAAGGGTCCAGAGCAGGTTTTACCTTCTGAATGAAGTTTTCGACTTTGCTCTGCAGGCCCCACCACTTGAATTTGATGGTCACCAGCTTATAGGCACACATCTGAGGGCCGTCTGGGTGGTTTGCCAGCTCCTTCTGAATGAGGACAAATAAAATCGGGGGTTAGATATTCATGCATGCTCTGATGAAAAGGGACTGCTGGGTAATGACATCACAGGCAGGACATGGAGAGAAATTACAATCTGGGATGTGTTTTACTCCACTCTTCAGGAAAGCTAACTTATTTTAGCAGCAGCAGTTGGAGTCCCCTGCTGCTGACCCTCCTTCCACAGACGAAGTTACCTCCGTACTCTAGTTTAATAGGCACACTGCTCTGCCTCAAATGATATGCTTCTGATTTCATATGAAATACCAGTTGTGATTCACATCGGCTCGAGAGTGAGCCTGTTAATATGTCCAGGTTCTCCTAATACCTTTTTCATACACCCCTTTGTGATGTGGCAAGCCATGAAACAAAGTAATGAGGAAGTGGAGTCTCCTTCTGTGCCTTCAAATATTGGCAAGTGGAGGGGTCCTGGTCACTAAGCAAGGAACACTCAATAGATGGGAGATTCAAAAAGGGAGGCTGTGGCACGATTACCCCTAATCATAATGCGTTCAAAGGCACATCCATCTGTATAGACTTTAATTTCCACAACTGATTACATCCCTTGGTGTAAGTGTCAGGGAATCAAGCCAAAAGATGTTCTAGTAAAAGGGAAAATACTCAAAAAAACGCAAGAGTGAGCGCTCATGTGAAAAAGAGCCTTCAAGCGCACTGAGGGGACTATTCTACATTACATGAGACTAAAGACTCACAACGTCTGTGATTTACTTTTAAATAATTCCACTTTTTAAAGCCCTGCTTTTGCTGTGTGGAGAGAGGGTGGGAGGCAAGACAAGCAGCTGAGACATGGACCGGTGTGCAAGAATGTTCCATCTTTCCATTTCAGGTCCATTCCAGGGCACTGCCACCCCTGAGAGCTGGGTCAGTTCTGTGGTGGCGTGAGCGAGCGAGAGCCAGGAACCGCCAGCATTCGGCAGTGTTTTCTCTGGGGATCCACTCAGCATCCAGGCTCGCCCAGAGTGACAAGTGCAGGACACAGGACACTCGGACTTGATTCAGAACAGAGCCTAGAAAGAATTCACAGTAGCCCACAGATGCAGACCTGGCCTTGCTCCTGCCCCGAGTTACAGTCAAGCCCAGAAGGCAGGCGCCAATCAAAGAGCCACAGCTAGTGGTCGGGCTGCAGGTGTGGCTCGGGGATTCCCAGTGTCTGTGAAGCCCGAACAAGGTGGTACATGCCCTGGGCTCAGCCCCGTCACCGTTGAATAGATTCCGACTCACAGCTACCCCCAAATAGGTGGGACTATACATCAATTCTGAAAACTGTAAGCAGAGGTTCTTCCCCTGAGTGGAGGGTCATGTGTAACACTATGGGGTCCCCTAGCTTTCATAAAAATTAAAACCAGCTGTAAGAGCCCCCAATCAAATGACTTATTAATTTAAAACAAAAAACAAAGCAAATTACTGAAGAATAAGGAGAAAAAAATTTAAAGCACCACACCTTCTTCACTGCTGTCCTCTGGCAGCCAACACACAGTCAACATCCACCCACCCTTGGCTTACCTTCTCCACGTTCGTGTGTGCAAGCAAAGTGTCTTTCTACACCAGCACATCAACATAAATTCCAACCATGAAGAACCCCTGGGTCTTACTCAAAGCTTCAGGACGACTCCTCATCTACTGGATCACACATGCAGACCACTTTGCCCCCCAGAGCCTCTGTGAGATTCTAGTTTCAAGTGAACGCTAGGGATAAGGTATACGAAAGAGCTCTATCCTGGTTTTATTAATGAGACTGAAAGTTCTGCTGAGTCCTGCATGATCACACAACTTTCCTCCAAAAATCTCTTCCGTAATAACATTTCACGCTCCAAACAATGACCAGGTTATAAATTGATGAGGTACCACGAGAAAGCATCTAAATTAAAACAGCACCCCCTACACTATCCCTTTGCAAGCTAGTTCCACATCCACGAGAGCCCAGCCAGTCTTAGCTCTCTTTTTCTATTAAATTTCCTGCCCACGCAGAGCACCCATGAGAAGTCAGCATCCATGCATATAAAAACGGTCCCCCAGCCCTCATCAGCAGGTTTAACTTGCAAGTATTTTGTGGGTCCAATTCCCACTTATCCCACTGACATCGAGTTAATTCCAACTCATGATGACCCTTTAAGACAGAATGGAACTGCCTTACAGTTTCTGAGGCTGCTTCTCCTGTACAGGAACAGCCAGCCTGATCTTTCTCTTGAAGGACTGCTGATGGGACTGAACTATTGATCTTCTCAAAAAGCAGCCCAAGGCCAAAGTTGCTATGCAGCACCCGCCCAAACATGGACATGCACCAGTGACAAACGAAGTCAACAGTCTCTTTCAGAAGGGACACCCTCCTTTTGGGAAGACATGGGCCTGCACTAAGACCTCATATTTATATACTGCTCCTTCCCTGACATATACGCTGTGCTCCTGGGTGGAAGCCACCAAGTAGCCTTCCACAGGACACAGCTAGCTTCTGAGTGGCTAGCCTCACTGAAAAATGGCGAGATTGGTCTTGTGCATCTTCCTCTTTCTGACAAAGCAATGAGCCACCATTGTGGCACTCTCCATTCCACCAAGTGTCCCTGGAAAGGCAGCATGTAAACACTGTCTGGGTCAGCAGGAGAGAAACCTGTAACAATAACACCCAACTAACTGGGAGTAAGGGGACTCACTCCAGTTGTAGCTCCCATGCGCAAAGGGCCTTCCTGTGTAGCAGAGCCAGGACCCTGCCCATCTATGGGCCTGGCTTCTCTGTCTAGAAGGAAAGGTGAAGGCCCTACTAAGACCTGTTTATCTCAGACTGGGGATGCTTGGAAACTCCCAGTCATGGGACATCTTGTCCTCAACAACGAAGGCTTTGCCTGACTCTAAGTGCAAAACCAACCGTTCATTAATGTCAACAGGATACCTAGGCAGGGTCCCAATTACAGGCAGAGCCAAGTGAAATGCAAGCCCATCCCACCACGTTAGGGCTCCAGGGCCAGAACGCACACCCACACCTGCAACAACCAACCAAGTCAGTCTCTGACACTCCCCGAAACTCAACCAGGCTGCTGAAACCCATCAAGGGGATACTGGTGATGCACACACCACACAGTTATTAAAATGATGATGGCACAGGGACGAATTCAGCTCTCTCCCCAGATCTAGAATGCTCACGTAACCTCTGCTTCCTCCTTTATCGGGCAAGTCATGATTTAAAAAAAAAAAAATCAAGCATGAAAAGTCCGGACAGAACAACCGCGGAAATGAACAGCCTGCTGCACCGGTCTCATGGCTGACTCCCCTGAGGTATCAACACTGCCACCCTTGAGGGAAGCACAGAAGGTGACCCTTCAGGATGGAACTCCATATCCCTCAGGAGAAGGCTGAGAACATAGAAGTCATGTCTTCTTAAATTACTATCATTATCAATGCGTATGTAGTGAAGGGCTCTACCAATTTCTACAAATGATTCTTGTGATTCACCTCTCAATTTGAGGTAGGGTCTGACAGCCATTTGCGGAAACATGGAACTACTCTAGAATGTCTCCACTTAAGAAATAGTTAAAAGCACGATCGCTTCGTTGTGTTGATGAAAACCTCACAAGCCCTCCCTAGAATGAGAGGTGGGGAACTTAGAGCTGCTCAGGTGCTGCTGAGCCTACAACGAACCAGTCTGTGGTCAGAACCATATCCTTGTCACGGTGTCTAAGAGCCACCTCATTAATTTCTAACTGCAAAAAACGAGGACTCAGCCCTCACACGGATCGAAAGGGGTTCAAAAATCTCACAGGCTCCCAAGCACACAGCCTTATCAATCATCTTTTCAAAGAAACTCAATCATGGGAGGGGGGGTGGGTAGAGGATAGGTGATAATAAAATGGACTATGCGTGCTATAAAATTGGGAGACAAAACAATAACAAGCAACAGCCATTATCTCTAAAGGGTGGGGCAATTAATTTCCATCTTCATCTGAAACTTCAATTTTTTGAAAAATATACTGAAAAAACAAACAAAAATACAACTCACTACCATCCACTCAATTCTGACTCATGGTGACCCTACAGGACAAAGTAAAGCTGCCTGTGTAAAAAGCCTCACTTTCCCTCGAGGAATGGCTGGTGGTTTTGAACTGCTGATCTTGCATTACCAGCCCAACTGGTAACCCACAGGGGTCCTCAAACTTTTTAAACAGGGGGCCAGTTCACTGTCCCTCAGACCCGTTGGAGGGTCAGACTATAGTTTTAAAAAAAAAAAACTATGAACAAATTCCTATGCACACTGCACATATCTTATTTGAAGTAAAAAAAAACAAAACGGGGCAAAAACACCCAGCGGGCCGGATAAATCTCCTTGGCAGGCCGCATGTGGCCCAAGGGCCGTCGTTTGAGGAAGCCTGCCTTACACCATCAGGGCTCCTATGCTTAAATAGGGAGACTAACGATAATGCTGAAATGTTTATTCTGAAATGTTATTAAATGTTTATTATAAGGATGAAATCTACTCTGCCTGAAATTATCTGCTTAACTAGTTCAAATCTGCACCCTTCTTGGGCCACGAAAAAGCTAATGTCTTTCTGCTCCTTTCAAAGATCTAACAAACCAAAGCTCAGACAGGCAAAAAAAAAACCAGGCTAAATGTGAAAGCAAGATCGGCTTTCACGTGTAACTTCAGTCCAGCCATGTTTACGGTTTCCTAACCTTAAACCTTCTAGAGCAACAGGATCAACTCCTCCAAGATGCGTACAGTTTGTTTAAAGCAGGAACCATTGCAGGGGACATCTCTTTTCACCTTTCAGAGCAGTGTCCCATGACCCCCCCACCCCGCCCCGCCCCAAAGAAGTGCTACTTGCTGCCCTAGAGCCTGGGGCGGGAGTAAAGCGTCCTCTTCGACATAAACAACATAAACCTTCTCTGGCTCTCCTCTTCATCAGCTAAGATAAGACCCACACAGTAGATACAACCAAAATGTGAATAAAGACTTTTCAGGTCTAACTCTAATCCGGCCTAAGCTCTAGTAAGCAAGAGAATTAACTCTTAACCAACCCTGAGTGAAAAAGGGGAAAGAAAAAAAAAAATCTAGGACAGTGATTCTCAATCTTCCTAATGCTGCGACCCTTTCATACCGTTCCTCATGTTGTGGTGAATCTCAACCATAAAACTATTTTCGTTGCCACTTCATAACTGTCATTTTGCTACTGTGATGAATCGGTCGACCCCTGTGTCAGGGTCATTCGACCCCCAAAGGGGTCACGACCCACAAGTTGAGAACCGCTGAACTAGGAGGATGAAAAATGATTTTGCTGAGCACCTGGGTTCTAATACCATAGATTAAAGCCAGAAAAAAATGTAAAGAACCATTCAAATAGCTGGAAATATGGCTAATCACAAAAAGGGCCGCCACAAGTTCTGCGAAGCCTGAGCAAACGCAGCAGCCAAGACTCAGTCTCAGCGACCACGGACTGAAATTGCATCTGAAAGAGAAGCAAGCACAAGCTAGCTGTGAAACACTTCCAATTTGTCATTTAAAGAGCTTGTATATTCACTGAATTCCTTAAATTGCATGTTTCTAACTATGTGAAATGAACCCCCAAGCCCAAATCCTGTTTTTAATTTCACAATGCCTGTTAGGCTCCTCTAAGGCATGTGGCTGGGCCCACGGGGGTGATGTCGACTCGGGCCACACAACCCAACTAAACAAAACTCGGTGTGTTTGGCTGAACGGTGAGCAATCAGCATGCGCATGTTCTCTCCAAGAACGAATTTCTTGCATCTGTGACAAACAAACATATACAAATGTTCAAAGAGAATCTTAAAAAGAGAAGAAAACTAATCCAAAGGCCTTCTGGAAACGTGCTCTCACAAAAATGCAGGCCTCTCAGGGTTTCACGCTACACGTCAACTCCACATACACTTCTTTCTGCTTAAAAATGTGCTGGCGCGCAGATGAAACAGGTTTCTGCGACTCAGAGCCGGAGTTAATACTCTGCAAGGACACAGCCCTTCTATGCTGCGTCCACGTCTTTCACCATGGAAAGTCTTGGTTTTCAGAGAGCTGAATGCTCAATTTCAGCTGCGGACTTCGTAATGCAAGGAGGGTGCCAACCCAGACCTCAATGAGAGTTAAAAATAAGTGCAGTGTTAGAGCCGTTGCCTGGGGACGCCCCAGTAAATATCAATACAAGATTACTATGCATTGAACGTGTCCTGAGGAGAGGGCGGGCACAGAGAACCAAAGGTTGGTAGTGTGAGCCCAGCAGACCCTGCGCAGGAGAGGCATGGCCATCTGCTTCTATGAAGATGGCAGCTTTGGAAACCCCAGGAGGCAGTTCTACTCTGCCCATGAGGGTCTTGATGAGTTGGAATCATTTTGCCAGCAGTGGGTGCTTTTCACATGTAATTAATAACCTAGCTTGCCAGGCCGGGTCCTTCCCCAAACCAGCCATGCTTTAAGCCAGCGTTTCTCAACCCGTGGGTTGCGACCCTTTTGGGGGGTCAAATGACCCTTTCACGGGGTCGCCCCATTCCTAACAGTAGCAAAATTACAGTTATGAAGTAGCAACGAAAATAATTCTAAGGTTGGGGGTGACCACAACATGAGGAACTGTATTAAAGGGTTTTGGCATTAGGAAGGTTGAGAACCACTACTTTAAGCCCTGCTAGTGCAATTTAGTACAAATGGAGGAAACCTGGTGACATAGTGGTTTAACAACAGCAAGATGAGCAGTTCGAAACCACTAACCACCCCTTGGTAGAAAGACAGGGCTTTCTACTCCCATAAAGAGTTACAGTCTCAGAAACCTACAGGGGCCGTTCTACCTTGTCATCTAAGATTCCTATGAGTTGGTATCGACTGAGTTAACCTAAATGATCTGAAATGCAGCCTAAACTCTCTCAATTATTCCGCTTCTTTCTTTGTGCTACCCATGCTGGGGTTTCCAAACAAGAGGCATGCACCAGTCTCCCTGCACATGTGTCTCAAGCATGAGACCTGGCTCCAGAGCTAGATGAGGATTTCATGCGTTGCTTTTCAGCCAAACTCATCAGGCTGGAGGCAAATTTTAATTCATCCTCCTTGTCCACTGCCATTCTCTCTACCCCTAGCCAACAGACTCGGAGGAACAGCTTGGCCTTAGACCCCTGACAACCAATGCTATTACCTTCTTGTCATAGATTTACACAAGGAACCTTGGCAATCATGATCCACGTCATGGATACCCTCCTCATGGGCTGGGGTATGTGTGTGTGGGGGGGTGGAAGTTCAGAATGGTCTCTCCTGCTCTTCCCATGGACCAGGCAAGGAAACCTGCCCAAAAGAGCCTGCAAGGCCAAGCTCCCAACTGGTTAGACTGCAGTGCTCTGATGTAGGAGAAACCAGGATGCACCTTATGATTAGAGAATGTGTCTGTTTGCATGGAGAGCAAAAAAAGTCCCACGGTTGGATCGATGTCTTTGTTCACCCCTTTGTGAGTCCTGGATGGTGGGGACTTTAGAGGCCTGCTAAGTCAAAGCCTCCCAAAAAAGGCTTTTAGAGGGCTCCCTTTTTATCTGCTGTATATAACTAGCCAGGGAAGTGTCAGGAGTCCCCAGGCATGTGGCTGAAAAGCAGAGAGAAATGAGGCCTTGCCA